CACGGTGCATCTCTTTTGATACAGGAATACTATTCTATTTCCAAAACAGTCCCATAATATCAAATCAGATTTTCCTAGCACAAAGACTCCTAGAAGAATCAAAATTGATAAAGATTTCTCTTCCTACTGGACAGGATATAACTGAGGATATGAGAACAGTTGTCAGAAGGGAATTGCAAGTCTGAATTCTTCTCATATCTAAGAAACATAAAAGATATGGTACTGACATTCATAATTTTATATTCTGACACAGGAAATATAGAGAAATAGGTTAAATAATCTGAAATATACCTCTAACCCAATGAGGAAGTCTTAATTGAATAAGTAGCCTGGTATAATACCAGAGGGAAGCTAAACGATAGAGAAAATATTTAAAAGACTTTAAAAAAAAGTTGATCTTGGATATAAAATACTATGAGATGTGAAATAATTTGAGTGGTAAACTAAAAAAAAAACAAGAAGCTTAGCGAGCCAATGAAAGGTGCACGTGGGAGCAGAGTGGGTGGCTCCCACTCTTCTTTTTTTAAAACATATTTTTATTGATTTCAGAAAGAGAGAGGGAAAGAGAGACAGAAACATAAATGATGAGAGAGAATCATTGATTGGCTGCCTCCTGCACATCCCCCACCGGGGATCGAGCCTGCAACCAGGGCATGTGCCCTGACCAGGAATTGATTGAATCATGATTTCCTGGTTCATAGGTCAATGCTCACCACTGAGCCATAGCGACTGAGCCCTACTGCTTCTTTCAAGCAACCTGGCCCTGTACTAAACTATTCCCATCCTGGGACTCCACATGTCCAACAGTCAGCTTCACTCTCTGGCATTCTTTTTCCCATTTCTAGCAGTGAGATATTATTTTACCTGCAAGTAATAGAAACCTTGATTTGTTACAAATTAATTTTTCTTGAAGTAATAGGAAGTCCTAGGAAAGGGTGAGATTTAGGTTTGATCAGCAGCATGATACAACAATTATGCATTCAATAACATCAGATTCATTCGAAAGCCTAATTTCCTGTGGTTATAAGGTAACTCTCAACTTTTTAAATTAGGGTCACCTACTTCTAGATGGGACAGGAAGAGAACCTCTTCCTCACCAAAGAACCCAGTCCTTCCCCTCAGACCAATTAGGTCCAATTAAAGTCTTTTGCCGATCCAAACCAGTTTAACAGTTGCCAGGGAAATGTCTTGCACCAACTAGCTTAGATGAGTCAGGACTAACTTCTGGAACTGGGAATAGAGTGCACTCCCCCAATCACATGAACTATGAGAAAGGAAGTTTCTTTAACAAAATGAGAGTTTCTGGTACAAGAAAAGAAAGAAAATGATGTGCAACAGGCCATCAATGGAACGCATCACACTTCTCTCCCACTCCGCACTGACAGGGTAGTGCTAAGTGCTTTGCTTGATTGCTAATGGCATGCTTTACTGGCCAGTAACAGTATGTATACTTTTGGGGTAAGTGACTGCTGCCGTGAAATGGATAATTAAAGATGAAGTTAATGATGCTAAAGATATTTCCTAGCTGGACTCAGCACAGTTATGTTGACCTACAGTTATGCACATAGGTACTTTGTCCAGTGTAGCTCCTCACAAGTGTAACACAGGACAAATGTGAATAGTGCAGCACAGAAGGTGTCTGATTTTCTGGCCCTTATAAACACTCACTATCTGAATAGTGCCTGCTACCCTACTGAATAAAAACCAACACGATTATTGAAATAAGCTCCTAGAAGGTGGCCAGACAATTAGCACTGTGAAGATACTCGACACAATAGGATAGGGCTTTTGGTTAAGGGAGTAAGCAATTCAAGTAACAGATCAACGAAACTCTCAAAGGAAAAACGAAACAAACTGACGAAGGATTCAATTCAGTACACTGTTTATGGATCAGCAGTCTTTCCATTGCACCAGACTGTCTTTAGCAATAAAAGCCTAAAGTCCTCTAGATGGGGTTATCCAAGAAAGAGCTTTCACTCATGCCATGAGAATAGAAATGGCTGTTTTTACAAGTTTAAGTACAAGGGAGAAAAAGGATATCTCTCAATATCTGATACTGCCCAACTTTTAGGCAAAAAAACAAAACAAAAAAAAGGAAGGAAGAGCGAAAGAATGGAAGAAGGAAAACAAAGCTTTATCAAGACAATATTCACTTGTATCTAAACTAATAAAAGAGAAACATGCAAATTGGTGTCACTCCGCTATGCCCACCAGCCAATCAGAGTGACTATGCAAATTAACCCAACAAAGATGGCGGTTAATTTGCATACGCAGGCGCAGAGCAAAGACTGAAGGCTCAGGCCTGAGTGAAGACTGAAGACTGAAGACTGAAGACTGAAGAGGCTTGGCTTCTCTGCTGTGGGTGCAGTGGAGAAGCCAAGCCTCGCTGCGCCCAGACCAAAGGCCTGGGTCCCGGGTGCCGTAGGAAAACCAGTGCCGGCAGCCAGGGGAAGGAAGGTCTATTCCGTGAATCTTTGTGCAATGGGCTTCTAGTATTATTATAATTATTTTTAAAAATTACTTTTAGTGATTTTTAAAGGGGGGGAGGGATGGGGGAGGGGAAGGAAGAGAGAAGAGAAACATTGATTTATTGTTCTACTTACTGATGCATTCATTGGTTGATTCTTGCATGTGCCCTGACCAGGATTGAACCTGCAACCCTGGCCTATTGGGACAGCACTCTAACCAACTGAGCTACTCAACCAGGGCCTGTACATTACTAGAATTATTAAAGGGTCTGCTGATTTTGAAACATTTCTAACAAGGACACAGGTTCAAGTTGCTTGCATGCACCCGCTTAATTTGGTTTAACATTCCTTTTCATACTGGGGACAATACTAATAATTACTTTTAATGGGTTGCTGTGAAGAATTAACGCATATATATGTATGGGTATGAACATGAACATGTATGTGTGTGTGTGTGTTTCAAGCTTATTGTTTTACACCTAGTTGGCAGTCAATAAATGTTGCATTTCTTTTTCCTTCCTCCAACTGGTCACTAAACTGAATAATGTTGGCTTGCACACATTCCTTTGTTAAAGGATCAGGAGGCCAACAGAAAGTTTTGTGCTTGAAAACTGTGGAGTACTCTGTTCCAAAACAAAACTGGTTTTCACTTCAGCAGTGTGGATTTGGGAGGACTGTGTTTTTGAGGGGAACCTCCCATTCATGATGAGGGCAGTGGTCAGAGGAACACGCTTACAGAGGCAGACAACTGAGTCATGAGAGAACGGCGAGGCCATCATTTCCTCAAACTTTCTAGTTTGTAGTAAGTAAACATATATACCAGTGATGGCGAACCTATGACATGCGTGTCAGAGGTGACATGTGAACTCATTTTTTTGGTTGATTTTTCTTTGTTAAATGGCATTTAAATATATAAAATAAATATCAAAAATATAAGTCTTTGTTTTACTATGGTTGCAAAGATCAAAAAATTTCTATATGTGACACGGCACCAGAGTTAAGTTAGGGTTTTTCAAAATGCTGACATGCCGAGCTCAAAAGGTTCGCCATCACTGGTATATACTGAAGTAGCAAACTCACTAGTAAGGAGGTTATTTGGTATATCTTCATTAATACCAGTAATATTAGGTTGCTTTTATAAAGAAAATATAAGCAAATGCTACTTTTAAGTTTCCTACCAGTAAACTATGGCAATTAAATTGTACTTAGTTTTCTGATAGCCTCCATCTTCTAATTTAGTTCCTATATTTTATACTTGGTTGTTCTTTCAGAACATGCCATGGACAGTTTTAATATATCTATTGACACATACTGCTTCCAGATTTCCACAATTAATCCTGAAATTATTTCATTTCCACTTCCAGAAAGTCTGAAATATTTTCCATTGACATTTCATAGAAAAAGAGCTGTCTCAATTTGCAATGGATTAATAAAAAAAAAGAGCACATTATACGGACAATCACAAAGGCTGAGACAAGAAAATAACCTACATTCTCTAAAACCCATTTGCAGCATCAGATCATTAGGTACAAGCATTTTGAAGGCACGGGGAGAATTAGCACTTCATAGCTGCAAGCACGAATTGCCACTTTCCATAATCATCTTTATTTCTTCCATCTCACTTAAGGATTTTAGAGTGAAAAAGGATCAGAAACATTCCTTTTGGCCCATATCCTTCTGAGTCTTTTTTTTCCCCTCTCCTGACATTCTCTTATTACTCCAGAATTCATTTTTTTTAAAAGGAATAAGTTGAATTTTTATACCTTTGAAATGTCTCACTGAATCCCTTAAAAATCACTTCCTAACTGAAGTGAATTTTCAATTATTTTTAAATTTTTCAGTCCGTGAGAAACACCATATTCTTTAAATTATTTTAGTTAGAGTATTACATTTTAGTTTTTCTCAGAGTTAGAATTTCACATGGCTTAAAGGCATTTTTAATTAAAAAAAAAATAAAACAGTGGCCTGTAGGTATTCTTAACCTTTTGAAAGAGAGATGCTTTTTAGAGAAATGGCCTAAAATTTTCACATTCTTATAAACTTAAACAATTTAGAGAAACTTTCTAATAAAATTTAAATGAACAAGGGTCCAAACATTTTCATTTTAATGATCTCACCCAGACAGTCCACCATTTAAATTCCCATAAGAGGTTGGTCTTTAGACAACTTGTGAATCCTGACAACTCTGACTGTTTGAAGTTAATTCATATAGCTAGATTTTATTAAGCAGAATACAATAAAAGAACTATTTAAGTTTTTAAAAAAGATTTAGAGCAAAATACTGTTAAAGCACTTCTGTCTTCTCTCAAGTGGTAACTCTAAGGCAGGATTTCTCAACCTCTGAATTACGGGATGGATAATTCTTTTTTAAAAAATATATTTTTACTGATTTCAGAGAGGAAGGGAGAGGGAGCGAAAGATAGAAACATCAATGATGAGAGAGAATCATGGATTGGCTGCCCCCTGCATGCCCCACAGTGGGGATCGAGCCCACAACCCGGGCATGTGCCCTGATCAGGAATCAAACCCCGACCTCCTGGTTCATAGGTCGACGCTCAATCACTGAGCCACACCAGCCGGGAAAGAATCATTCTTTCTAGGGGAGTTCATCTGTGCACACTAGGATATTTAGCAGCATCGCTGGCTCCTACCTACCAGATGTGAATAGCACCCCTGCATCAGCCTCCCCACTGTCCACTCCTTTTGACAATTAAAAAAAGTTGTCTGCACACAAGCTAAATGCTTCTGGGCAGGGAAGGTGAGGAAAGCGGGGAGAAGGTTGGAGGGAGGCAAAATGGCTCCAGTTCAAGAAGTGCTGCCCTACGGCTTGATATTTTGTGCATCATCAAAACCTGATTCTACAAAAAGCCTCACTTTTAATTTTTACAAAGGAGGCATATAATGTGAAATAAAACCAAGTGAAATCAAACTATTCTGGCAGGGAAAATATTTTAAAATATAATCAAACTGAGATTATAATTACTGACCACTCAATGTCTGTGCAGTGAGGTCTGATTTCAACTGAACCTCAGCTAATTGCAAAGTCAGTTCTCTATAAAGGGCACCACTCACTTTTAGGTCCATCCCCAACGTTTGCTTTTCTCTCTGAAGTTCTTCTCTGTAGGGCTGGATGTTTTCTTTGCTGTCTGATAAAACAGTCAGAACACCACTACTATTTTCTTTGCTTGCTTCACAGCTCTGCACCAAGTTGTTTTCAACCTTAACTAAGGCAGAAGCAAGAGAACCAAGGATAACCAATTCCTTCTCCAAAGTTAATGCCAAATGATCACTTAGGAAATCCTCACTTCCTGATTTTAGATTTTTCAAGGAACAGTTTATAGGGAGAACTCTGGTGAGATTACGAAGGCACTGAAACAAAACTGATTGATTCCTGGAAATAAAAAAAAAAACCACAATATTACAAAACTCAGACAATACAAAGCAGTTGTGTGCAACATATTATAGTAATCAATTAATATTCATGTATAAATATTCTAGCAATGAATAGAACCAATAATGCATGCATGTGATCATTGATAGAATTCAGACTGTAGCAATATAAAATACATATCCTACACCAAGTCATTTAATACTCATGAGGTTGCTTCCTAATTAATTTTTTCTCTGAGTAGTAAGATCAATATTATATATTTTTTTAAATGTCAATGAGGGGGAGAGGAAAGGGAAAAATCTTAAAATAATTATTAGGCCCAATTCAACCAAAAATAAAAAAGGCAAAAATAAACAAAATTTAAACAGCTATAGTTTTTATATGAGGCCACCAGCCCATTCATGCCAAACCAGGCAATGACCCGGACATGTCCCACAATGGCACAGAATTCTACCATGGGGATTCCTGTTGGACCACACATTCACCACATACTAAGTTTGGTGGACCAATTCCAATTTGATGTGCATTACCTGGAATAGATTATTAAAATCCCTTCAAACGGTGTCCTTTGTTGCCAGTGGAAGAGTGTCCCATACAAATTTTCTGACCCTTTACAAAAGCAAATTTCTGGAAATTTTTTGATTACTTCACATTCCATGTGTTCCAAGAGCCATGTCTTCATTGAAGTCAGGGCATATCTGGCTGATGTAATTTGGAAGCAAGTTTTTTGCAATGTTGCAAGAAGTGCAAAGAGATCTTCCATTTGTTCTACAAGAAAAACACGTCACAAGCTTTTTCATTAAATTCTATTATCGAATAAAGAAGAGTTCTTAAAATTTTCTGATTCAATTTGGTATATGATTAAAAAGTACCAACAAAAATTACCTATAGGTTTCTTCGGAAAGGTCACTAGGTATTTCCCACTTGAAAAATCTTCTAGACTTAAAAAAAGTCTGCCACATGGAAAAAAACGATGTTCAGAAGAGTTACCATTTTCTCTCTCCCTAATTTGCAGCAGCACAATGCAAGATACCTGACTGAGTGCTAAAAGTGGCGAAAGAGATGTTACGGCAGTAACTATCTGAACACACTCTTTCTCAGATGATTGTCCACAAACAAAGCTCTCTTCATCCTCTTCCTGAATATCAACAGTCAATTTGATTCTTTTTGCCTCTGGTCCTTTTTCATATGGCACTGAGAAGGGTGCTGAAAAAGAGTCCCTACTCAACTTGATCACCCTATTTTGACACTTAATAAGCCGAAAGCTGGAGCTATGAGGTTCATCCATTAACAACGATAAAGTCACCTGGTTCAGAGGCCTGTAAAACATCCAGAGTTTAGTTTAGTCTACAAGTTCATTCTTTAAAATTAAATAGATGATTAAATGCCATACAAACAACAACACATTTTATTCTCTCCTTTCCTAGGAAACATAACTTCAAATGTAAAATGTATCAGAAAATTAGGTGTAAAAGCCAAATACATTTTTAAAAATCCTATAATTAATACCTCTCTTAAAATAAGAAAGCAAAAACATTGTAAATATGCTGGACTTTAGGAAAGTAACTTTTTAATGGGAAAAAAATGGTAAAATTAATGCCTGGTAAGCCTCCCACTCCCCACTTTCCTTTAAACAAGAAAAAAATACTAATTCTTTTAAAAAACTTTATTTTGGCAATAATTTAGAATGCAAATATTTCTAAAGTAAAAACTGCATTTCATACTCCCCTAAATTACTTAAATAAAATCTGCTTTTAAATACAGAATATTGTTGCCTGGCTGGTGTGGGTCAGTGGTTGAGTGTCCACCCAGGAACAAAATGATCGCTGGTTCAATTCCCGATCAAGGGCACATGCCTGAGTTGCGGGCTCGATCAGGAAGGAGCCAATTGATGATGTTCTTCTCTCACTGATATTTCTGTCTATCCCTCTCCCTTCCTCTCTGTAAAAATCCATAAAAACATATAAAACATAAATAAATATATATAGAACATTATTTATCCCTCAGTAATGATAATTTTGGGGATATACTATTATTAAAATTAATTTCACCTGTTTCTATTTACATTTTTTAATATGGCTACTAGAACACTGAAAATTACATATGTGGCTTGCATTATTTCTGTTGGACAGTGCTGTTCTAGAACATTAAGATAACAGTATCAGGCATGAGTGGGGAGATGGAGGGGTACTGTGGGGATAAGGACACATATGTAATAACTTAATCAATAAAGAAATTTTTAAAAAAGATAACAGTATCATGTTAGAATTTACTTACAGCTTCAAAGAAGATGTGGTTTTCACTCCAACAACCAAACTATCATCTATTACACGATACCATGTCTTCTCTACTAGCTGTTTTGAATCTTGAGAATTGCCTGGTAAGTTCTTATCACAAGTATGAACATGATTTTCTTCTTCACCACAAAGAGTAACAAGACATTCCTTATAGAAAAGCATGTTTAAGTAACTAATTACAAAAAAAACCTACCAAATGTACCCAAACTAAAAAGAGTGTAAATTATTTTAAAACAAATTATGTGTATTTATAGATGATACCTAATTCACTGAAATAAAACATATATATATATATATATATATATATATATATATATATAATTAGCTATTTACTCAGATTAAGAAGCATGGCCTGATTAGAAACAAGACAAGGTATCCAACACAGAAGGGATATAAACCTGGAGTCCATCTTGAAAATAATCAGACAATGTAACATGATGGGTCTTTGTTATGTTTCTTATACTCACAGAATCATATTTTGGACCCAAATCCTCATATTTCTAGGACTGAAATACAGACCACTATAAGAATGGTCAACCCTAAAGAGGGTCAGAGCAAAGCACTGCCCAGCTTTTCTTGATTTATTTGTAATTTTGTTATACTGTCCTCTGCGTGGAACTAATGTGCATAAATACTATTTTTATGAAGTCTAAGCAGTTTTTGCTAACTTTCTACATTACTGTACATGCATAAATAACTAAAAGGTACTAAAGAGATTCAGATGATGGTCAACCCCAAAGAAAATGACAGTAAAATGATAAAAAGCAGACATAAGGGCTAAAAAATCAGAGCAATTTAGGGACATTAATTAGAGAAATAAATATCCTTAAAAATGAACCATGCAAGAGACTAAAAGAACAACAATTATACTAATGATAAAATTGTGTCATTAATACAAGCTTAAATAATGTTTAGCAATTTTGCTTAAGAAGTCAGAAAATATATAATTCAATTAGGAGTAATTTCTATTCAAACTATACAAATAAAAGAGTTTTGTTAAATATTTTTTAAACAAAAGGACTTATTCCCCCAAGGTTCCTGGTAACTGAGATTTTGATATCCTACTGAATAAGAATAACTTGCAAATTGGTAAAATACTGGCTTCTTAATTGCATATTTTTCAATAACATAAAAGCCTACCATTAATAATCCCTGCCACTTTGCTTCTTGATCCATTGCATATTTCTATCATATTCTAATTTCCATTTCAAATAATTATTCTGTAATAGTGTCAACAATAAAAATAAAGTTAAATAAATAACTCAATAGGTTTTAATTAATAAAATGATAAAATGGTCACATGATTAATTTTACCTCCTCTGCAATTGATGTACTACATTCTTTTCCTTGAAGCAAGTTCATTAAAGCTTTGTAAGATTTTAAGATAACTTTTTCCTTAAGCAAAAGATGCTTCTGAACTTCCTGAATAGAAGCCAAACCAACCTGTAAAGTAGAAAGAAAAATCATTGCCAGAGACATAGTTTCATATGAAAACTGACATACCATTAATTCAGAAAGTGCTCTCTCCAAATCTGCATATTAATTTATTTTTCTATAGAAAAGCAGAGAATACTTCTCAGAGCAAAACTATTTTACTTGTAAATTTTAAATCTCTAATGACAAAAGAAAACACAGCAAGTAACTGCAATAAATTGTACATATCAAATTGAGAGAATGCCAATGTATTAGCACTAGTTTCACTACTGAGTTTAGTAATCAATATGACTATGAGTAAGTCCGATAAATATGAATAAAAAACAAAGCCTATCAACACTCCTACCCCCACAAGGAAATTGTTTTTCTTGTGAAATAATTTCTGTTTCAGAAACCAAAAGACATAATTATAAACAGAAATAGTCACTTTTAATTTGATACTATTTGAAATCCTCTATTCATATAACCTTTATTTAAAAAATTAAAGATAACACATTAACAGCCTCCAAACTGTCACACGTTTATTTTTGTGCTAATAAACTCAGTACTAGATTGACTCTTAACTACTGGGGGGGAAAATTGGCTCTGAATTAGGCATAGAACAATCCATTCCTTTTATTGTACCAGATAAATAGATTTCAGCATAAAACATGAAATACATTTTGTTACTGAAAATTTAAAGCGTCATGTCATTGAACTGATAGAAACTGTTTCATTTCAGATTGATATCTGAGACTGTTTAAGTATTAATCCAGTTTTTAATATAAATGTTTTTCTAGATTGAAAACACACAATGCATCCTGTTTTATAATTACTTTCTTTTAAATTTCATCTTAAGGCAGGTACATTCTTTCTTCGTATCAATGAATAGCCGTTGGAGAATGAAGATTGAGTCATATTTTACCTCACCATGCAAAATATGTAAAGTATCTAGCTAATATTTTAAAAACTTCATCTGCTGACCTAATTCTGTGGGCTCCATATCATTCACACTCCATCACTCATTTGCTGAGTAATTTGTAATTTACGGGAAGAAAGAGGTGCCCATCAGAGGTGGAGCAAATCTGAGACTGCTGAAGAGGGAGGGAATGAAGAGAGGAATATGTGGTCAGGCTGGAAATAAGGGCCCTCTCAGAAATGATCCTGTTCTCTCTTCCCTACTCCCCTCAACATGCCCTCTGCTTCAGGACTAAATGGTAAATCACTAGACTACTCAAATATTTTATTATGAAGTTTTGTTATAAAACTATTGAAAATAAGCATATGGTTAGAAATTTAAATAACATAAAAGTACATCTCACCTTCCCTTCATACACCCTTAATTCCATTTGTGCAGCCAACAGAGTGTTTACCTTTGCAGAATTTTTCCATGTAGCATATGTTAAGGAATGCTTTCCTTCTCCTCCCCACAAACAAAACCATATATAGGAGCATACTACACTGCATGATAGCGAACCTTGTTTTTTTTGTTCTTTTTACTCCAATCTCGCTCATGCATACAGAAGAGTACATAATACAGAGAACATTTTACAGACTAATGAAGTTAACACCCATGTAACAACACCCAAGTCAAAACGTAGCACTCCAGCTGTCCATGGGCCCTTTTTCTCCACTGGAGGCAGCATTACCCTGACCCTTTACTTCTGAACTTTTTATAAGTGGAATCATTCTGTATGTATTAGGTTTAAATGTCATCCATTTGTCACTAGTAGCTGTGGTTCATGCCTTTCATTGCTCTATAATATGCCATCATATGACTACACTAGCTTACTTCTCTAGTCTGCTGTTGATGGACATCTGGGTTATGTCCAGATGTGGTGTATTACAATGTTGCTGTGAACATTCCTATATATGTGCACAAGTTTCTCCAAGGTCCTGCTCTCCCCAATTCCCTTCCACACCTCTGCCTCTCCTACTAGTATCAATGTGCTTTCTTCTTTACTTCTCTAGTTGTGGGACTTCCATTCAGCCAGCTTTCAGGCAGTTCTTATTTGTATTTTAGTTGTAATTTTGATGTGGTTGTGGGAGGCGGTGAGTATTGGCATTTACACTGCCATCTTGGTTCTCCTCAGAATAAATATTTATATTAAGAAAATTAATCCTCTGTTCTATGTTATAGTTTCTTAACACATAATTTGTCTTTTATTTATTTTACTTTGTTCTGAGTAGAAAAGTTTTAAATGTAATCAATCTTTTCCTTTATGGTTCTATGTCCACTATGATATTTTATTTATCTATTGTTCACCTTCATATCTAGCACGTGTTCAGTAAGCAGTTGGTGAATTCACTTTAATAATTAAAGTAGTTCCAAATAATTTTAAAATGGCCTGCAATGTATAAATATTTACTATCTAGCCTTTTACAGAAAAGTTTGCCAGGGATAGAGGAAAATGTTAAATAATATCATAAGGAAATAGACAAATCCAAAAGGAGGAGCACCTCACCTGGCCTGCTCATTGGTATTATTTTAAAAATAAGGGAGGAGGCATTATATTAAATAAAAAGATCAATGAGAGTTATAATAATCAGATGGAAGTGTAAACTTTGATTGAATCCTGAAAATAATAACTATAAAAAACATTTTTGTCCTGGCCGGTGTGGTTCAGTTGGTTGGAGCATCACCCCATATACTGAAAGTTTCCAGGTTCAATTCCCTATCAGGTCACATACCTAGGTTTAGAGTTCAACTCCTGGTGAGGGCACCTATGGAAGGCAACCAATAGATGCCTCTCTCTCTCTCTCTCTTTCCCCTCTCTAAAATGAATAAGCATATCCTCAGGTGAGGATTTAAAAACAACATTTTTGTGGCAGTTAAAGACATCTGAATATGGACTGAACAGTGAATATGATTAAGGGATTTTTATTGATTTTCTAAGTGCAATAATGGTATTTTGGTTACCTAAGAGAATGTCCTTAATTTTAGGAGATTCTTGCTAAAATATGTAAGAGTGAAGTAGTATAATATTTGCAACTTTCAAATGATTCTGCAAAAATGTACACATACAGGTACACAATCACAAATAGATGAGGCAAATATGATTTTTTCAACAGGAACAATAGTTGAACCAATGTGGGAACTACAGAGATAATCACTATACTATTCTTTGAACATGTCTGTATATTTGAAAATTTTTACAAATGGAAAAGGGCAAGTTACAAAGGAACATCTTATAATCACATTTCCATATAATCATTTAAAAAACCTGCAAGAATATCCATACCAAAGTGTTAAAATTGATTATATCTCAGTAATAGAATCAAAGGTAATTGTTAGTTTCTTTATAACATTTGTTTGCACAGTCTAAGTATTTTACAGGGAGTATGAATTACCTTCAGACAATAGGAAAAATTCTTTTTTTTAGAGAGCTCTGTATGGAAAACTTCAGGGTGAACTGTCCATGTTTGGAACATGTTATGATTTATCATATTTGCTGCTCCTTAAAAAGAGATAATGTAGTACACTAATCCTACAGACCAGAAAGAACTATCTTTAAAAGTGAGTTTCTTGGTGGGAACAGAGAAGATGGCGGCGTAGGTAAACACCTGTACTCACAGCCTCCCACAACCACAGCAGAATTACAACTAAAATACAGAACAACCATCATCCAGAGCTGCTGGAAAGCTGGCTAAATGGAAGTCCTACAATTAGAGAAGTAAAGAATAAAGCACATTGATACTGGAAGGAGGTGCGGAGGCGGGGAATGGGCTGGTCTGGCACCCATGTGTGCCACTTTTTTATCGGGAGGGAGAGCATATCTGTGGAGGCCGCCCAGAGGAGCAAGGGGTCCCAGCTCCACATCAGACCCCCAGCCCAGGCTCCCAGGGCTGGGAAAAGAAGTCCCTATGGGCAGTAAGAACTACGGGCTATAAAAACCAGTGCAGATTGGGGTTCAGTGACACAGAGGCTGCTGGAGACCCAGCTGTTCCTCATAAAAGCTGGGCACCACGAACTGAACTTACGAGGTCCTGCTTCCTCTGAGCTCCGGCGCCAGGGCGAGGCTTTGGGGGACACAGACACATGCAAGGAGGAACTGGACTGACTGGCATCAGGGCAGGAACTCGGGGGCGGATTTCTCCCAGATGAAGGTGCTCACGGGGATCACTGTTCCTATGCTGGGACCTCCCCAGTCAGTCACAGGGCTGACTGGCAGCCATTTCTGTTTGCTCTGCCCTGGTGAGTCCCTAAGACCTTACCTCATCCAATTCACAACCCCACCTAAGATGTGTGCAGTGGCTTTTGCATATGAATGGCCTGTCCTTGCTCAGGCTAGGGTCTCTCAAGTAAGCTGCAGCTGGGTCAGGGAGCTCCAAACCTTTCAATAGAGGGCCAAGACCCAGCACCGTCCCCACCCTGCCTTGCTTTGTGGCTGGGCCTCATCTGGGCACTTCCAGACCCAATGCAAAGAGGAGGAATCTGCAGCTCTTGTTATAGTTCCTGCTGGGTAGCCCCAGGCAGTGGCTGACTTTGCAACTCCCTGGAGACCCAAGAGACAGTGTACCCAGTGGTCAGTGTGAGACCATCCAGATTACAACTCTACATATCCATAAGCGACACACTCAAGGGGCAGACTCAGTGAGCACCAAAGCCCCATTAAGCAAGTCCTGCTCCACAGGGGTGTCTCCTGCACAGCAGCTCTCCTACTGTAGTCGCAGCTGGTCCCCACAGCCAATTGACCTGGAGGTCAATTCCTCCCAGTGACACCAACAGCAATAAAGTCTCAACTACAACAAGACTGTGCTCACAGCCCACAGAGTGGTGCACCTAGAGCATCCAGCTCAGGGGAATGGGGAGGCTGAGCCACTGGGCCCTATAGAACACCTACCTCACAAGGCCACTCTACCAACTCAAGGAGACATAGCAGCTCTACCCAATACATAGAAATAAACACAGGGAAGCAGCCAAAATGCAGAGACAAAGAAACATGACATAGCAGCTCTACCCAATACATAGAAATAAACACAGGGAGGCAGCCAAAATGCAGAGACAAAGAAACATGTCACAAATGAAATAAATGAAAGAAAGTAAAGTCAAAACCACGGTTATAAGGTTACTCAAGAATCTTCTAGAAACCTCAAAAAAAAATGGAGAAGGACCAGTTGCAGATTAAGCATACACTGATTGAAATAAAGAATAATATACAGGGATTCAATGGTAGAGTGGAGGGTTCTAAGAATCAAGTCAAAGATTTGAAATATGAAGAAGTAAAAAACACCCAACTGGAAAAGCAAAAAGAAAAAAGAAGCCAACAATATGAAGATAGTGTAAGGAGCCTCTGGGACAACTTCAAAAGTACCAACATCCAAATTATGGGGGTGCCAGAAGAAGAGAGAGAGAGCAAGATATTGAAAACCTATTTGAAGACATAAGGATAGAAAACTTCCCCTACCTGGTGAAAGAAATAGACTTACAAGTCCAGGAAGCGCAGAGAACCCCAAACAAAAGGAATCCAAAGAGGACCACACCAAGACACATCATAATTAAAATGCCAAGGGCAAAAGACAAAGGGAGAATCTTAAAAGCAGCAATAGAAAAGCAGTTAAGTTACCCACAGGGAATGCCCATAGGACTATCAGCTGATTTCTCAACAGAAACTATGCAGGCCAGAAGGGAGTGGCAAGAAATATTCAAAGTGATAAATACCAAGGACCTACAACCAAGATTACTCTACCCAGCAAAGCTATCATTTAAAATTGTAGGTCAGATAAAGAGCTTCACAGACAAGAACAAGCTAAAGGAGTTCATCACCACCAAACCAGTATTATATGAAATGCTGAAGGGAATTCTTTAATAAGAGGAAGAAGAAGAAGAAAAAGATAAACAAAATATGAACAACAAAATGGCAACAAATACATACCTATCAACAATTGAATCTAAAAATCAAAATAAACAAATAAGAAATCTAATGAACAAAATAAACTGGTGAATAAAATAGAATCAGAGGCATGGAAATGGAGGGGTGGGGCGCGGGCAGAGATTAAACAAAGATCTTATGTGCATATATGCATTACCTATGGACACAAACAATAGGGTGGCAAAGTCCTGGGGCAGGGCAGGAACCGGGTAGAGGAGGGCAATGGGGGGGGAAAAGAGAGACATCTGTAATAATCTCAACTATAAAGAATTTCAAAAAGCCAAAAAAAAGTGAGTTTCTTATATTTTATCTTATGAAGTTTATTAAATATACATAATCTTACTACAAAAAGGTATGATTTTTAGATGCTACATTTATAAATAATGTAATAGCTTTTACAGAGGTATAGAAAAGGTAAAGATCCTTTAAATACTGTGTTTTCCAATGACTGAGTTATTTATATTTTAAAGAACTTTCTTTCTTTATTCTTTTTCATTTAAAATAGCACTGATCCAAAAAAGAAAAGCACAAAGCAAACATAGACACTAACTTTCACTCTTCTTTCCAGAGCTGGAATCACCAAATAACGATTATCTTCTTTGTCTTCAAATACGTCACCTTTATTGCAATCCAATGTTTGACTCTAATAAATAAATAAATATACTGAAACTGAAATTTTGAAATTGAAAATTCATAATATTAACAACATGCAATTAAAGTTTATCCAATCAGAGGACAATTTTCTATGTTAGATACTATTATATAAAAGACAAAATATATATTTTCCCCATCTTTTTGTAACCAGAAAAAATTATAATTATTATTACCGCCCATGTAACAGTTGTATACTGCTTCAAAAAGTATCAGCTTACTAGATTTTTATAAAATCCCACAACTAGAGAAAATAAGAGTTACCCTCATTTTACTAATGAAAAAAACTGAGGCTCAGAGGCATTTTATATAGATCTGAAACTTCAGGTGTATCATTTCCCTTATGCCTCAAATCTTAAGATATTATCAACTGTTGCTTCTTTGAATAAAGCCGTTACACTTCATGTTATCCTTTAATTAATCCAATATTATCATGTTATTGATATAAAAGGATTTTCAGAAGCAATAAGTTAATTTACAGTATTTTTATCATTTGACTGACCACCAGATATACTATAGTCAAAAGCACAGTAAATCTGTATTGTGCAAACATCATAGAGTGCAGTTACACAAACGTAGGTGGTATAGCCTACTACTTACCTAGGCATCTGTTGAAAGGACAGTCAATGCATACAATCATTTATCATGTAACATTTCGGTCAACAACGGACCACATATACAACTATGGTCCCATAAGATTATAAAATGAACATGAAAGTTTTCTATCACCTAGTGACACTGGACACATCATAACATTGTAGGACAACACATTACTCACATATTTTTGGTGATACAGCGTAAATAAATCAAATGCACTGCCAGTCATATAAACATATAGGCACATGTACATGTATAGTACATACATTTATATCTAGTACATAACACTTGATAATGATAATAAACTGTCACTAGTTTATAGATTTACTATATTAGAATTTTTATTGTACTCTTTCTACTTATACAAACGTTTGTTGTAAAATAGTATGCCTTATTACACCAGCAGTAGCCTCATATATCTCATGTTTACCACATCTCTTGATTGCATTGTTATGCTTGACTTAATATCATGTTGTTTTATAAACTTAGTATAGCCTAAGTATACAGTGTTTCTAAGGTCTACAGTAGTGTCCTAGGCCTTCACATTTACT